CTCCTTAAATGTTTATTAGAATTCACCAAAAAATGCATTTGAGCTTTTTAAAATGTTTATGAATGTTATTATTGATTTGATTTCTTTAATAGCTATAGCCTGTTCAAATTGTCTGTTTCTGGTAAGAGTTTGGGCTGCATCCTTTTTCTTTTTGTAATCTTATTTAGGAGTAATTAATGTGTAATAATTGTATTCATTGAAAATACGTAAGTTTATGACGTTTTCGTTCATAGGTTCATAGAAACCACTGCCATAATCAAAGTACAGAAGTTTTTTAAGGTTCTTTGTGTCTCCTGCATACTATCTTTCCTCTGTTTCCAGCCTCATAGCCATAGTCACTTCTTTGTGTCTCTATTTGTTAGCTTGCCTTTTCTGGAATTTTATGTTGAAAACCAAGATGCACAAAAATATTAGAATCAACAGATGAGATCTTGGCAAATTAATGGTGGATTATTTATTTCAAGTCCATTTTAGGTCTTTCATAAAGGTTTTTAAATTTATAGCCATAGGATTATTCATAGTATTAATTTTATTCTTTCTGATACTACTAATGATTTGTGTCTTTTTTTTTTCCTTAGCTTGGTTAGAGGATTATCAACTTTACTAATCTTTCCAAAGAATCATGTTTTGTTAATTTTCCCTACTGATTTCTTGTTTTCAAATTTATTTTTTTCTATATATTATTTTTGCATTTCTGTGCTTACTGTGGATTTAATTTTCTAAAGTGAATTTTTTTTTTGTCTTTTTCGTTTTTATCCGTACCAGGAATCAAACTCATGACTGCCTGCTTGCAAGGCAGACGCTTATGCCACTAAGCTAAATCCCCAGCCCCCTAAAGTGAATTTTTGATCTTCTAATGTAGCTGTCCAGCTATCAGTTTTCTTCTTTTTTTTTTGGTCTTTTTCCTTTTTATCGGTACTGGGGATCAAACTCACAACTGCCTGCTTGCAAGGCAGGCGTTTATGCCGCTGAGCTAAATCTCCAGCCCCCTATCAGTTTTCTTCTAAGCACCATTCCACTGTGCCCCACAATAGTTTAGTTGTGTTTATATTTTAACTTAGCGTATATTAAAATTGCTCTTGAGAGTTCCTCTTTGATCCATATGTTTTTCAGAAGTGTGTTGTATAATCTTCAGATATGTCTGATTTTCAGGCTATGTTTTTAATACTTATTTCTGCTTCAGTCCCACTGTCATCTGACAGATGACCCTGTCTGGTTTTTGTTTATGTGACTATGTTAAAGTGTGTTTTACGGCCCACACTGTGGCTGTCTTGGTGAATGTTCTTGTGAACTTGAAAGAAGTGGGCAGTCTGTTATTTGGTGAAGTAGTGTATGGAAGTCACTTACATAGTTGGTTGCTGTTTTGAGTTCAGCTGTATCGGATTTGTTTGCCTGCTGAATCTGTCCCTTTCTGATGGAAGTACCTGGAAGTCTCAACAGTGTAGTACATTCATGTGTTTCTACTTGGAGTTCTGATTTTGTTCTCAGGTATTTTTACTTTTGTTACCCACATGCTTTGAGGGCTGTTTTGGATTATGGACCACTTTATCATTATGTAATGTGCCCCTCCATCCCTGGTAACTTTTCATGCCCTAAAGTTGTCATTTAGCTACTTCTCTTTCCTTTTTATTAGTGTTAACATGGTGTACTTTTTTTTTTTTTTTTTTTTTTTTTTTGTCCTTTTCAGGCAGGGTCTCTCTATACAGTTCATGTAGGCTTTGAGCTTACTATGTAGCCCAGGCTGATCTCGAACTCGCAACGATTCTCCCACCTCCGCCTCCCGAGTGCTGGGATTATAGGTGTGAGCCACCACACCTGGCTTAACATGGTGTATTTGTGGTTATTACTTTGCTTTTTAATTTAGATGTATTTTTATGTTTAAAATGAGTTTTTGTAATATACTTGAATTTTTTGATTCATTCCAATAATCTTCGGTTATGTAGATTACTAATTTTGCTATAACTGCCGTATTTATTAGAGCTTTTTAGTTTCCTTTTTTGTTGTAACTTTGACAGTTCTCACCTTTTGTGATTTTAATTAAACATTCTGTTTTAGTTTCATTTTTTAGCATATCATAAAACAAAACATGTTTTTAGTGTTTTCTTATCAGTTTGCCATTCAATATATCCAAGTTCATTTTCAAATAATATTAATACTGCTTTATATGGGGTGTAGGTACTTTATGGTAACAAAGTGTTTCTGGTTTTTTTGTCTTTGTATCTTTGTATATACATTCCACTTATAAGTGCGTACTTAACTGGGTATATTGTTACTATTATGTTGAATAAACTCACCTGTTAATAAGAAAAATAAAATTTAATTTTACCTTCTCGTCCTTTGATTGACTTCCTTTCTTCATATAGATCAGAATTTCTACCTTTGTTACTTTCACTCTCTCTGCTAATCTTTAAACATACCTTAGAAGGCCGGGCTACTGACAAGTCTCTTCATTTTCTTTTTGTCTGAGAATGTCTTTATTTGACCTTCACTTTTGAAGGATAATTTTGAATTGTAATTTTTTTGTTTGTCTTCCTGCTCTGGGTTCTTTGTTTCACTGCCCTCTTTCACTTGCATGGTTTCTGAGATGCCAGGTGGGATTTTAACTTTCTCTCTATATAAAGTGTTCTTGCTTCAGGTTTCTTTTAAGATTTCTTTATCTTTGATTGCTCAAAGCACACATATTTTTTGTACTGTGCTTGGTGATTGAGTTCCTCAGATGAATGGTTTTGGTGTCTGACATTAACTTAGGGGAAATTTGTAATCATGTTTCAGCTATAGCTTCTCTTTCTTACACTTGTTCTTTTCCTTCTGGTTTCTTGTGTAAGTTGCACCTTTTGTAGTTGTCTCATAGTTCTTGGATGTTTTCTTTATTCTTCTATTTTAAAATTTGCTTTTTCTTATTATTTTTCCGTTTGAAGTGGTTTCTGTTGTAACTTTAAGATAAGATCTTTTCATCCACAGTATTCAGTCTACTAAAGAGCCCATTAAATGCATTCTTCATTTTAGTGTTTTTGATTTCGAGCACTTTTAAAATCCTTTTTTAGAATTTCCAACTTATTGCTCATTGCTCATATTGTCCTTACATTTATTTGCATGTGTCTACTTTTTTCAGTAAGACATTTAGCATATTTGTTCACAATTTCCAATCAGATAACTCCATAATCCCTGCCATGTCTAGTTTTGGTGTTTATACTGTCTCTTTGACATGTTTATTGCCTTTCAGTATGTAATTTTTTGCTGAAAGTTGTGTGATGTGCTGGATAAAAGTAATAACAGAACATTAGTAATCAGTGACTGGGAAATACACTGCCTCCCTGTGACAAGCCCTGACTTTTATTGGGCCTTTGCCCCAGAACCGGCAGTTTCATGATGCTTCCCAGCTCCCTAACCTCCTTTCCCTCAGGTTTGATGGGAAGGAGTGGCTGGCTGTGTGGGGCTGGAGACATCTTTATCCGGGAGGAGGAGGCTACAGGGAGCTGGAGTTGTGCATTTCCCTTTGCTGCAGATTGGTTAGTCTTCCGTAAATTCCTTCTCCTAAGGATGGCTTTAAGAAGAACAGAATGGTGCTCTGACCTTTTTCACTGTCATTTCTTTCCCCTTGCCTTACTATAATATAAGCACAAAGGGATTTTTCTAGCTTATTTATTGTGGGACCCCCAGTAGCTCCTAGGTGTGAAACCACAGGACTGGCTTTTCCTGGAGTTGTGAAGTCTGGGACTCGTCCACAGACACCCCAGACACTTCTCATACATAGGTAAAACTTCCTTACCCTGGCATCGGTTCCTAAGAGAAGTTTCTGCTTGTGAATTTCTGTGCTATGGGTTGTGATTTTCTCTGTTTGCTTGTCTTAGTTCTACCGGGAGTGGTTTGCCCTGTGACCTCAGTTTGCTGAAAGACTGAGAGTTGTTGATTTTTCAGTTTGTTCAGTCTTTTACTTTTCCATAGGATAGAATGGTGACTTCTGATCTTCTTACATGCCAAACAGGAAGCTGGAAGTGCTTAAGAGTTTTAAGTTACTTTTTAAAGGATTTAAGAAGAGATTGCTTTGTGGGTATTTGGAAGTTCTTAAAGAGAATGGACAATTACAAGAGAAAGCAAAGTAAAGGGAGCAGTGTTTTTTCAAAATAGGTGAAATTTGATAGTTAATTTTTATTATTAATAATTGTCTTTTGAAACAATTTGAAATATTGAGTTTGTGTTATTTTTATGTTAAGCATTTCAAAGTAATTGTTTTCTTTTTTATATTTGTTGATGTACTTAAAACCTAGAGAAGTAGACATTTTACGAAAGAAAGCAATTTTGAATGAATCAGAGGAATCACCTGTATGGTAAAGGTGTCAGCAATTTCATAAGCATGTCATAGCATTTTCTTAAGTTGTGTGTTAAGGGAATTTGTAATCTTTGACTTTTTTGATAGTTAAATAATTTGAGAACTGCATTTTAGGTTCATGTTTTTGGAAATCCAGAATATATGTACGTCTAGTAGTACTAAGAGCCTCAAATATATGGACCAACTGTTTTGTTTATATTTTTTTCCTTAAATTTGCATGCTTATTGAGCATACCTGCAGAGCATGTTTTCAGAAATATAATAATAGCAAATAGCTAAGTTTCTATCTACTTGTGCAGATAGTGGAAGAATTTACAGACAATGGATCCATAGTTAAAGCTTTATTAAAACTGTTCTTACTGGTTTTAGTGAATTACTACCTTGAAACATTTGTTTTAGTTTGGTGTGATTCATTGTTTCCTTTTGTGAAATATGGTAACATTTCCCCCTTTATAAATTCACAGTGATATTGATGCTTTAATATCCTGTACTTGTAAGGTTCATATGTACAAGATTTGAATATACGAGCTTTTGGTGTGGATTTAGGACATCTATAACATGGTATTTTGATGAACACATACAGTAAAGTAATTACTATAGTTAGGAAAATTAGCATATCTACCATTTCACAGAGTATATGTGTGTATGTGTGCAAGTGTAAGACTACCTAAAGCAATATAGAATGCTTCATAAATTTATGTGATATTCTTGAACAGGGCCCATGCTAATCTTCCAGGTATCATTTCATTTTTTAGTGTGTATGCCAATCAAGCAAATATTGTATGTGATTCCTACAGAAGAATAGGGATACTTAACACCTCTCAGTGGTTGGAGATTACTAACAGGCCAATTCTGTGAATTGCACAGGAATCAGCAGTCTGTGTAAATGTTGTAAGACTAGATGAATGAAGTATTTAAATGAATGACATATTAGCGTTCTGTACACAGCAATGTTCTTGTCATGCTTTTCTTTGGTTACTTATGTGTCCCGGAAGACTTGACCAGTGGAGCAAGAACAGCTATTTTAGTGTTGCTGATTAAGATTCAGGGGGTGAAGAGAAGGCTTTCATAGCTGAGGCCCTTATCCTACTTATTAATGAAAGAAATATGATAGGAAGCTTCTGGGTAAAATCATGTGCTGTTGTTTTTGAGATAATATCTACAATTCTAATTGTTCTAATCCTTCAGTGTTTAGTGATCTATATTTGAGGGCATCTGTAACAGTGGAACATAATGGAATTTCTCTTTAAGTTTTTGTTTTTTGAATTTTTCTGGATAACATACGAATTTCATGCAAAAATTTAAAAAATTGCAGTTGTAAACATAAATTGGATAGGCATGCTAAAAGGATGATTTTTAGAATTATACCTGTATGAGTACGGGAGAGCTTTCTATAGGAAGTTGAACTTCAGGGTGTTTGGAAAAAATGATAGCTATGATTAAGTTTATATAATTAATGAACATAAAATGAAAAAAATAGTGGTAATCTTGAGGGGTATGAAATATGCATGCTGCAGAAGCATGGATGCCTGTTTCATCTCGGACCTCAGGAGACGAGCAGATGAAGCAAGGTGAGGACTTCACTCTCTGTTGCCCAGTGACTCAGAAATGTTAGATTATTGAGCAGAACATGTGTAAGTTTGCACAGAATTCCAGTGTCAGTGTGTGCAGATGCTTGCAGTGCAGTATTAGGAATGAAAGGAAAATAAGTCCCAGATGATGGAACAGATTAGGGTGAGGCAGCAGCTGGGCAGTGCACTGTTAGATCTGTAGTGGGTCTAACTAACTGCCTGTCGTTGGTGTGTCTCTCTCTCTCTTATATTTTTAAGTATGCTCCCCTTTCCTGTTGAAATGAAAGCTTTCCCTTTCCTGACCGAAGTTCTTGCCTTCTGTCTTTTAATATTCTCATGCCAGCCTTGCGAGGATGAGAGAAACTCTCCTGGATTTTTTTCCTTCGGGCAGAACCTAGGCAGCTGTTCGCTCTGGGACTTTGCTTTGGATTCTCAGCCTCTTGCCCGGTGACCTCCAGAGACAAATATTCTGAGGGAGACAGTGTCCAGTTGCTGCTGAATGGCATTTCAGGTTTCTGCCTGTGACATATTGACTCCTTAAGCTCTGATTGGCTCAGTAGGTCTTGAATAATTAAAAACAGACAGCTTGTTATTTTTATTTAATTTGTCTTTTCTAGCTCTTGTTGGGAGAATTACATTGCAAGTAATGTGACAAGCATTATATGTTATTTCTTGTTTTAAACTTACAGTACAGGAAAAGTCTGTCCTCCCTCATCCTTCTTTGATGTTACCTTCCTTGGTAATAACCATTGGAATTGGATGTGTGTGTGTATACGTATGTATATAACAAAAGCACATGTATAATGTGTATGACGTGTGGTGAGGTTAAGGGTGTTAAAGTTATGTTTTGTAGGACTCAGAGTTTAGCTCAGTAGTAGACAATGTACTTAGCATGCACAGGGCCCTGAGTTCAATCCAGGGCACCAAGTAATTTGTTTCAATAAACAGTATATTTATACACAGAAAAAAAAGTGCTGATGCATATACACACGCACACACACATACACTAATTAAAAAGATCCTCTTTTATCACTGGCTTTCTGTTCTTGTTACACTTTCTATGGTCAGCTGCCTCTGTGTTGTATATTTATTTAAACTAAATTTTTTTGAACATATCTTCCACTATTCTACATGCCTAGGATAATGAATAAACAGATGAAGATATCCGCTTCCTTCCAGGTTAAGTTTGTTGGAAAGAGAAAGCCAGGCAATGGAATAAATCAAGAAGATAAATACAGAACACATGAAGGTAGTAAATGCTTTGGCAACAAAAGAAAAATCTGAAAAGAAAAAGGGGTATTTGGCAATGTTAGTGGGGAAGGTGCTACTTTAGGATAGTTTCTGAGTGAGATTTTTGTGAATAGACTTGAAGGTAATATTGTAGTATACAAGGTGGTTGTGTTATATACTTACATGTTTGAACTTCTTTATTCTTTTGGACAGTTTTCTGTTCGGTGTATTTATTTTTGATTTCAAGTGACTAAGTAATTAAGCTTTATCTAATCCTATGACATTGTAACGTAATGGTGATCCTAGCATGTATATGAGAATATATGTATTTTTAGTGTTTTTGCCTTTTACTTTGACATACTTGACAGATCTCAATCTTTGTTAGATATTTTTCTTAAGTAAATGTGGTCTTATGTAAAGATTTACATATAGATAGTTTTATGCTGTGAGTAAGATTAATTTTATGCATAAAATTGGCATTTATTTTAGGGATGATTAAGAATCTTAAGTTATTTTTCAAACAACTAAATGCTGCAGTCGTATTACTAGTGTTTTTTGTGTTATGTCCTCCATTTTACATTACGGAGCTGCATGTGATAGAATCCTTTTTTTTAGAGTCTTTGCCCTGCTGGGTGTGGTGGAGGAAGCCTTTTAAGGTGGAGAAGAGGAAGGAAAGCTAAATGTGTTTTGACCAGAGAAAAGATGTAAGTTGTTGGCTGTGGCTAGTGATACCAAGAAGATAGTTGATTTCTGAAGATCTAGCTAGGTGATAATTAACTAGTTTTAAAAGTTTTCTTTGGATAATTGGCTGTTTTGATGTTCCTCAGTGACTTGAGAGTAACCATTCCTAAATGTTGAAATTAACCTGAAAATCAAGTTGAAAGAATTTTTAAAGAATTCCAAAATATTAAATAAAATTTAAAAGAATTTTGTGATTCAGTTAAGGAAAATTAATAATCTAAAGAGACTGCAGTTGATCACTGAAAATGTAAGCAGAATAATGTCAGCTAGGAAGTTTAAGGAAATATGAAGCATTATCAGAATATAATGTCCATTGAACTAATAATAAATTATAGTGGCAGCTTGATTCATGAACTTAATTTGTTCTACAGTTTTGGAAAAGACAGCCATGTTTGTGTTCATGTGGGCAAGATGCCCACGGTTGTTTATTTCTTGATGAGAAATTTGCAAAAAAAAACCAAAATTTTGTGAAACGTTTCTGATAGCAAACCAAATTATTTGCAAACCAAAGCATTCCTGAACCCACTACCACTGTGCTTGGAAAAATTTATTTTCAAAGTTTCCACAGTTACTTGTTATAAAAGAAGTGGTTTTATTTAAAAACAGTGGCGACTAGAAATTCATTAAAAAAATAGAGGAGAAGGAATTAAAACTTCAGTTATAATGTTGGAGGTAGTCATGTCTTTTCGCATTACCATTGACACTTAGCTAAGACTGTTCACAAAAGCATTGGAATCACTTCCCAGAAATGGATCTACTGACTGTCCTCTGCTTTCACTAAAATACTTGTGGAACAGTGGGGGTTCCTAAACCCTTAAAAACTCATTGTCTACACTAAGACATTGTTTGCCATTTTCACTTTCATGACATTTGTGCTGCTGTTGCAGAAGGATAGGAAGTAAGTTTAGGATGAATTATGGTGGTGGCACAGTTATATGAGGGAGGAGTCTGCATTCCTTACTTCTACATAACGTGGAAAAGAGGAAAAAGCCAGTTTCAACTTTGGAATTGGTTTGGTAGAATAGTAAAATCATTAATTTCTCACGGTGTAGTCCTTGTGCTCAGTGCTCTGTGTGTAGAAATGGAGTTGCATGGAGGGCTGCATTGGGAAGGGCAATGTCTTGGGTGTTAGCAGTTTATTTGAAAACTGAACCATCCACGTTTATGGCTCACTTACTTTACTCTGAAAAACAACTTACAAACTGGTTTGTTCTTGAGTTTGTCAGACATTTTCTTGAAATAGAACTATGTGAACTTGTCACTTCAAAGAGTATAACTGGCATTATTTGGTACTATCAAACTCAGATTTCCAGAGAACACGGACAGCTTGGAAGCTGTATGTGCCACTGTAAGTGAATGACTCCTCATGAAAATGTTTTTGTTGAAGAGTTCCTAAAAGCACCTTCTGATCCATTCATTTGCTAATAGGATTAACAATGTAGCAGTTATTCTCACAGCAGCAGTTTTATTATGGTAAAATATACATTTGAAATCAGTAACAGACAAAACTTCACACACCCATAATCTCAGCCTTTGTAAGGCTGAGGCCTGAGGATCACAGTGAGGACAGCTTGAACTACAAAAACAGAACAAAACAAAGCAAAAAAAAAGAAAGAAAAATAATGGATGCTACATGGGGCAATCTAGGAGAGGGTAGATACAGGTTTCCAGTTTTGTTCTTCTGGAGTCATGGATAGCACCTCCTTCTCCCAAAATGTTGTGTAATACTGTGTGTGAAGTAAAATGGAACTTGGACGAGTGACCTCAGTCTTGGTGTTGGAGGTTTTTACTGGGAGTCGGTCATGAAGGCTAAAGTACCAAAGTGACTTCATTGACTCACTTTTGTATCTCCATCAGTTTGACTGCAGATGTGAAACTTAACACTGTGTAGGCCAAGTCCTCTACCATAAGTTAATTATTAGTATAAATTGTCTGGTGTGGTCTAGTTGTCAAAGACATTTTAATGGACTCAACATCAGGGGCCTAGATGTTAACTCCCATTGGTTGGGCAAGAGCCCAGCCAACCATTCTTACGAGTGTCTAGAGTTTGGGCCACCTAGCCCCGCTAAATTAATCTTTCTGTGTGCTGATGATATACAGCATGTGTTATTGTACAGTTCGTTATTGTAAATGAAATATGTTATTGTTAGAGGATCTGCACAACTCAGTGAGCCGGTATTTCTGAAATGGGTAGTACGTGATGTTACAAGAAACATACAGGAGTAAATAGA